ACCCCACCCCCCGGCCCGCGCGCCCCCGCCCCCCCCCCCCCCCCGCAGGCTACCAGGGCTTCCATGCCTCCAAAGAGCCCTTTCCCCCGGGGCCCCAAGCGGGACAGCCGCGGAGGGGCGCGGTGTGGCCGCCTGGCCGAGGCGTGCACCGGGGGCCGGCCGCCCCCGCCCTGGCACGGCGGCTCCGGGAGCCCTGCCCTGGCACCCCGTACCTGGCCCCACCCTGGCCCTCTCGGCCGGGAACGGCCCGGCAAAGGAAAAAGACGGGGAGGGGGGGGCCGTGGGGGGGTGTCGGAGGATTAGGGCAGGAGGGCTCAGCCGTCCGCCAGGAACTGGGGAAGGAGGGAAAAGAGCTGCGAGGAGGCAGCGCTGCCCTCGCACCGAGCCTTGCGAGCGGGGCCGCCCGGCACCGGCGGCGAAGGGGCCCCGAGAAGCCCCCAGTGCGAGATGCTCCACGCCCTGGGCAGCTGGAGGAGCAACTGTGCGTGCGCTGCGGAGGGGTGAGGATCTTCGCGTTAGCCTTTGGTGGTTTCGCTTGTTTTCTTAGATTCCCACGCCAGGGGAAGAGATTTCCACCGCCGTGCCGCGGGGTTTCTCCCACCCAACGAGGTAACCAGCGCAGGGGGGCTTTCCCACGGCGGGGAATGGACCCCAGGAGCCACGGCAAGAGTTTCCCGACCCCCCCCCCCCCCCTAGGGAGCTTAGGGAGCGCTCGCAGGAAGCGTGCCTGGGTAGGACTCCTGCCTTACACGCCCAAGCATGTGCTGCCCAGGCAGGGAGCGGTCCCAGCGCCCTGCCCGCGGCCGGCGGTGACAGGGACACAGGTCCGCCCTACTCGGTCACTGCGGAAACCTCCGCTCCTCTCCCTCCCTCCCTCCCGGCGTGGGCTCCGGGCACCGTGTGCCGGGCACATCTTCCATTTGGGGGGGGCTAGGAGGACAGGGGGTGTATTACACCGACGTGCACAGGAAACCGGTGGTGAAGTTTCGATGAGCTCGCCGAGTCGAGGAGGGCGAGTTGCAGCAAGCCGCCTCGGCGGTGCGGGGTATCTCTTCCCTTTCCCAGGCGCAGGGCTTTGGAAGGGCAATTTAAGCCTCTCCGTGGATAGTCTGGGCTTGTGGTGCTGACCAGGAGAGAAGGACGGGTCTGTCCCAGCTCTGCTCTTGAGCCCTTTAACTCGGGCTTCTCTCGGAGCAGCCGGCCCCGCCGCAGAGCCCGCCGAGCCCCGCTCCCGCGGCAGGGCAGGCTGCGGGCAGGGCCGCGGGCAGGGCCGCCCCCTCGGCGCTGGGAGCGAGGGCGGCAGGGCCGGACAGGGGTGCTTCGTGTGCCGGTGGCTGGGGGCAGCCAGGCACGCACCCGCGAACAGGCCCAGGGGGAGCACGGGCCGCCTCATGCCTTTGTACCAAGAAGTTACGCCTAGAAAGCGTCTCTCTTGGTGGGAAAGCGTTTGCCTGCGGGTCGCCCTCCCCTCCGAGCCCAGGTGCCCCGAGGGTTCCAGCCAGCCCCCTGCGTGGGCTCCGCTTGCGGAGGAACGGCGCGGAGCCACCGCAGGAGCTGCAAGCGCCTAAAGGAGGGGAAAAGCCATTTGGGGCAAGGAGCCGAGTTAGGCGCCGGCCCGGGCAGAAGCGCCCCCCCCGCCCCCGGCTCCTGCCCGGCGAAATGGGTGGCAAGGCAGGGCTGTAGCCCTTCGGCGGCTCGGGCTGGCCGAGCACATTTGATTCCCCTTGGGGAGGCACAGCAGCTCGTATAAAAAAGACATTGTTGTCTTTGGAGAGCCCTGTGCGCACTTTCAAAAGCTGATCCTTGAGTTCCCAGCCCCCGCAATCCAGTTGATGAGGAAACGCGCTGCGATCTTGGTGGCACCGTTTCCATTGGGATTGGCACCATTTGATTGACAAAGTCTCCCATTCTTCCCCCTCTCGAGTGTTATCAAACGGATTGTGTGGGGTCAGAAGCTATTGAAGGGACGTCCGTGTAGCCGCATTCTGCAAACACGGGGTGAAGACCGTGCCTTTCTCATGAAAATGCTTCCACCAGGCAAAACGCATCTCATCTTCCCTGCTCTCCTCCTTAGCATTTCTTTCTAACTCGAGCGTTTTACTAAGCAGCATCACCAGGTAAAGGAACACATCACTAGAGGCAGCCTAGGCAGGACCCTGACGGGGCGGCCACCCCCCCCGGGGGCCGCGGGGAGCCAGCTCTGGCAGACGAAACTTGGGTGGAGGGTTTGAAAGAAAAGGGTGAGCGGGCGGGACAGGGCAGCAGCGAAGAAGCTTTCTCGCCACTCGTCCGCAGTTCGACTCGCCCCGCTGTAGCTGATGTGGAGCGGGAAAGGAGGAGCAGAGACTGACCCGCGTCCTTTTCACTAGGTCGATCTAGCGGGGCTAAAAAGTGCTGTCGGCACCTTGCGGGGCGTAGCCGTGCCTCCACGCGCCTCGGCGCATTTCTAAATTAGCGGTCAGACCTCCGAAGAGAGTTTCAGCCCGCTCCCCAGCGAAGGGGCGATGATGGGCTCTCGCCTTAACTTCCCTTTACGAGACCCCGCGCAGAGTCAAGGCTGGACTCGCTCGGGTTAACCTAACTGAGCGATGTTTCGGAGGCGATTTAACCTGCGCTCGATCGAGCAGGAGGATAAACAAGCTCACCCAGCAGCAGCCGGCGGTGAAAGGGGTCGTTCTGGCGGCGGCCCCGGGAAGGCGCGGGCCGGGCGGCGGGGCCCCTCGGCCCCCCCCGCTCCCC